TCCCCATGGTGTTTCCTCTAGGAATGGAGGCAAATCACTTCTCCCTCACAAACCCCAGTGCTCCCAGTACCCTCACCAGGCACAGCTTTGAAAACAGCCAGGGCAGATGGAGAAACTGTTTCTAATATTTAGAAGGCTGAGGGAGTTGGGGCTGTTCGACCTGGAAAAGAGGCTGCAGGGACACCTTACAGCAGCCTTCCAGTACCTGAAGGGACCACAGTACCACAGGAAAGCTGTGGAGGAGCTTTTCACCAGAAAGGATAGTGACTGGACAAGGGGTAATGGTTTTAAACTGAAAGAGGGGTGATTTAGGTTAAACATTAGGAAAAAATTCTTCACTGTGAGGGTAGCAAGGCATTGGAGTAGGTTGCTCAGGGAGGTTGTGGAGGCCCCCTCCCTGGAGCTGTTCCAGGCCAGGTTGGATGAGGCTTGTGCAGCCTGGTTTAGTGTGAGGTGTCCCTGCCCACCGCAGGGAGGGTGGAACCTGATGGTCCTCAAGGTCCCTTCCAATCTTAACCATTCTATCATTCTATGATTCTGCGATTACGAGAAGCTCTGGCGCAGTCTAATCACTAACCCTAGAAGTACCCTGCACACTGAAACAACATACTTGCTCTTATCAAAAAGGGCTGAATACCCACAGTGCAAGACACCAAACAACCAAGTTCTCCTGAGACCCCACCTGAAGTACTGTGTCCAGTTCTGGGGAGTCAAGGGCCTGTTAAAGTGAAAGCTGGGGAGGGACCCTTTACCAGGGCATGTAATGACAGGACGAGGAGTAAAGGTTTAAAGCTGAAAGAGGGTAGATTTCCATTAGGTCTTAGGAAGAAATTAGTTCCTGTGAGGATGGCGAGACACTGGCACAGGTTGCTTAGGGCAGCTGTAGATGCCCCTTCCCTGGAAGTGATCAAGACAAGGCTGGATGGGGCTTAGAGAAAGCTGGTCTAGTAGGAGGTGTCCCTGCCCATGCAGGGGGAGTTGGAACTAGATGATCCTTAAGGTTCCTTCCAACCCAAACCATTCTATGATCCTAAGCTATGTTTCCACAACTCCAAGCCACAAAGGAGCAAACAGTTCTCTCAGTATATTTGGTGAAGGAGTATAAATTACTTGCAAATCTACACAGACTCTAAGGTCAATCAACAGCAATACTTGTCCCATAAAATAAAATAGGTGACTGTAGAGACTAAGTCCCATCAGAGATGTTTTATATGTCCTCACACACACACTCCTTCATAACAGCTTTGGTATTTGAGGGGAAACAATTGATCTTTCCTAGTGAGGCCTTTGAGGTTAGAAGGGACAAATCACACTAAGTCCCCAAATTCAAATGACAAGAACTCGCTTCCCTGCAGCAGCTTGGCTTGCCTCACAGAAAGACCAGGCCAGACTGCAGGACATCAGCCTGGCTCAGGCCAGAGAGGTGCAGAGGCCATAATTCAGGACGCTGTGCAGAGGTGTCAGGCTCAAGTGCGACTGAGCCTCGTAGTCAGGCTCTTCAAACCTCTTCATGGGTTTCTTGTTCACAAGCCCAAATCCAACACAACACATGCCACTGATGCAGTCAACAAACAGCTCCTCCACAAAGAACCTCAGAAGTAGCCATGATACTGCAGGACCCACAAGGCTCCCCAATTTAAAATAGGGACACTTAAAGAATCAGCCTATTTCAAAGTGTCACATTCACAAGCATTTCAGCTGACCTCCCTTCAGGAGTGAAAATGTCACACCATATTTCTCTTGCATGGTAGGGACAAACAGGTCTGAAAAGTGGCATCTGAGTAACTAAAAAAAAAAAAGTATCTTTAAGATTGCATAACTAAATGATGATCTTAAAGTGATACATTCTCATAATACCCAAGCACTTGAAAGCATTTGTCTGTCACTAACATTCCAGAAAGTAAAAACACTGACATAATTGCAGGGACATTGTTCTGCCTTGCTACACAGATGGTAAATCAACTACTACTTTTGTCGTGGTGGTAGTTTTTAATAAACATTCATGTAGACCTATTCACTTTTGAAACTGTGTTCCAAGAAATACAAACAGTACACAGAAATGGAAGCCTTCCATTATATAATACACAATATACATAAAACCAAAATAAAAACAAAACTGCATTTACTTTCAGCAAAGCTGATAGTTTTAGCCATTCCAATACTCTATGACTGAGTACCACCTGTAGAAGACTGAATTTGTACTACAGGATTATTGAAAACAGAGGTCTTACGTGCACACAGTAGACATTGTTTCCACGTTGCATTAGAGCAATAACAAATACTGATACTGAGCTCTGCTAACCAGCAGAAAGTAAAGCAGCATGTGATCCATCATTTAGTCTTCATGCCATTCTTCCTGGATAACTAGCTGGAAAAGTCCTGAAAGGGACATAACTATTTCAAAGCTTTTGGTGACTTAGATTAACTTAATTCTTTGCCACCAAGCCAGTGTCCACAACTTTCACACATGCATATACGTCCACACAAACCCCTTTCATATACAGATACAAACTCTGTGTGTGTGAATCATTCTCCCAGATTAAAAAAAAAACAAAACACACAAAAACAACAAACAAAAAGCCCCACAAAAGTCAAACCTCAAGTAGCAGTAACTATCCTCATTTGTTTGGAAAAAACAAAATTATATTATGTAAAAATCATATAAAATTATGTGATGTCTACCATAATATTGCATTGAATAAACAAAGTAATAAGAGAAAAGGCAAGGAGCATGTTAGTACATGAAAAAAAAAAGTATTGTTATTATTATAGGAGAGAAGATAATGGTCCATATTAGAAGCATTGATATAAACAACTGAAATGCAACAGAATATATTAAAATCCATAAGAAATCCTTCTGTTTCTTGATGGATTAAGCAGCTTTCACCATTACTGTTGACTACTTGATTTCATTACAGACCTTAACACATACATCTCTGCCAGTATCAGCAGAAGTAACGTTGAATTCTTTTCTTGCCACTGCTGGATATCCAGCTCAAATCCTACTTAAATATCTGGGATTCTTCTAATGCCACGCACTGACAAATGCTCCACATTTGCATGATGTCCCAGATGTTCTGGCACACAGACTGTGCAGCATTGCTAATAATAAAGCCATAAATCAAGCATAAGCCCTGTGACGTGTGACAATACAAATACACTGGCAGCAAAAAAGAAGTCGTGCCAGCAGAAGTGGATGAAAATCAAGCTTGGCAGTCCTGTATGTAAGAGGGCACACTTCCCCACCACCCCACCCCCTTTCAAATACCTCTTCAGATGTTTAACATTCTACTTTCCAAAAGAATTTGCTAACTATCTAGTAGGTCCTGTAAAAAACTTATATCTTAAGTTTGACACTAGGGAATTCTGTACTGTCTGAATTAATATATTACTTTCAAAAATCACTTTGCTTGGTATTAATCTATTTTTTGTTCAAGATTTTTACAACAGCCACCTCGCTCAATCCCTATTCCTCCAGCTCCCTTCTTCTGGTGTCTAGGAGCATGAAAAAGACAGCCTTCATTTTAAGCTGGCAAAAATTTTTGTGCAGCACATTTTTAGTGCACTGCATATAGAATTTCAAGAACTGACAATATTGTTTTGTCTGCCTGAA